TTTGTGCTATGACTATGTAAACACCGAACACACCAAAAGAAAGAGTAGACTCTCTTCTTTCAACAGGAAAAAAAATTAGTTTCTACCTTATTCCGTTCTTCCTGGACTCGCGTCTCACCGGCGACATGTTCTCGCATAGAACCGTTACCTTTTTCTTATTTGCCTACAGTCTATGCTCATCTCCCATCAAAAGTGGCACTGCCCCCTAGAGGGTCAATTTGTTACTACATACTCTGTCTAGAAGCCGATATTTACGGACAAGCTTTAGCAGATCGTCCCCCAGCCACTCTCGTTGAAAAACATAAAAGATCTCTACAGACGTCTTTGGCAGTCAACGGTTGTATTTGAATTGACGTCTATAGACGTCTTTGGCAGCCAATGAGTTAACCCCAACATGCGTGTTTTAGGGGGGCAGGAGGAAGCTGGAGTCTCCTAAAATGGGGACAACATGCTAACTCAAACCAGGATTCTCTAACTGGGAGTCAAACCAGCTTCATATTGACGTATCCATCCATTATCCTCCACTTATCTGAGGTCCAGTGGAGGTCCAGTGGAGTCCAGTGAGATCTGGGTCTTCCCTGGGTCTTCCTGGGTCTTCCCTGGGGCCACAACCAGGCCACAAAATTCCCCCAAGAGAACCAGGAGGAATCCCAGCCTCCTCAGCTGACTTCTTCCTTTGTGGACTTCACCTAAACCAGCGACCTGAGAGCCTCCCACTCTTGCCCAGCTCCCTCTGGACCTCTGGACCACATCTCTAACTCCAGTTTAGGGTCTCAGAAAACCAGATCCAGATCCGTAAACCAGATCCAGATGTTTAAACTCATCCCCGGCCCAGAGGGAGCCTCCCAGACCCCGTCCTCCAGCCTGTAAACCAGACATCACCCAGCTTTCTGCCTCATTATCAGACACTTCTTTTTTAGTTTTCTGTCCTGGTTTGATTTGTGTATTTCAAATTGATAAAACCCTTATTTTGTCTGTGACTGAAAAATGAAAATTACGAGAGAAACGAGACGCGTTCTGAGTCCTTCCATTGTTTTGGAAAGCAGAATACAATCTCTGCAAAACTGTGTATATTTAGACTTTATTCAGATTTTTTTCCCTCCAGCACCTTCACTTGTTTCTTAACTATTTGTTGTTGAATATTTTTGTTTTAATAAATTCCTAAAACTGCTTCAATTGTGGTCATTTCATTATTTCTGCCTGATGGTTTTTACTTGTATGAAATAAACACGGAGTTAGGATAGGATAGTTAGGACCAGCCTTTTCTTCCCCCTACAACCTTTGGACGTGATTCCTAGAGTTTCCATAATGTTTTGCCCGCCTGGATTTGTGTTTAACGGTCATTCGTGTCCAGGGGTCCAGCAGCTGCTCCGGCCTTGTTTTCATTCCCAGTTCCTGACTGTTTATTCATGGATGTCGTAATCCCCGTTTGACTCCATTAACCAGAAACTCCTCCTCCTAAACTCTGTTTCCCCCGGGTCCCTTTTGGACGTTTGTCTCCTCCTGGACCCGTCTGGCGAGGTCCATCCAGGTCCCCCTGAGCCCCAGATCCAGACGGCGGCCGTATCCATGGCGACGTTCGACGGCCTCCTGGAGGAGGCGGGGCCCTTTGGCCGCTGCCAGAAGAGGATTTTGGCGCTGGTCTCCTTCCTGTCGCTGCCCTTCGCGGGCGTGTACGCGGGCGTGGTCTTCCAGGGCTTCACCCCGCAGCACTGGTGCCGGGACCCCGGGGGGGTCGCCATGGCGGCGGCGTGCGGCCGTCGCCCGGGCAACGCCTCCGGCTGCCAGCGCTACGACCTGGACTGGAACGCCACGGCGACCGGATGCGACCTGACCGGGGTCCAAATGACCGACTGCAAGGTAGGCCCCCAGGGGAACCCCAAAAGGCCCCCAGGATGCCCACAGTAGGGCCCTAGGAGTCCCCTTAGGAGGCCACAGGAGGCCCCTAAGGAGGCCCCCCAGGAGGCCCCTAACGAGGCCCCAGGAGGCCCCCAGGAAGCCCCTAAGGAGCCCCCAAAAGGCCCCCCAGGAGGCCCCTAACGAGGCCCCAGGAGGCCCCCCAGGAGGCCCCCAAAAGGCCCCCAGGAGGCCCCTAAAGAGGCCCCCAAAAGGCCCCCTGGAGGCCCCTAAGGAGGCCCCCAAAAGGCCCCCAGGAGGCCCACATGAGGCCCCCAAAAGCCCCCCCTGGAGGTCCGAAAAGGCCCCCCAAGAGGCCCCCAGGAGGACCTAGGAGCCCCATCAGGAGGTCCCCAGGAGACCAACAGGAGGTCCCTAGGAGGCCCCCAGAAGGCCCCCAAGAGGCCCCTCAGGAGCCCCCCAGGAGGCCCCTAGGAGGCCCCAAGGAGGCCCCCCATGAGGACCCCCAGGAGCCCCCTAAAGAGGCCCCAAAAGGGCCCCAAGGGGTCCCCCTTGGAGCCCCCCCACGAGGCCCCTCTCTGCTCCACTTCCCATTGGATGCACAGTAAACTATTTGGATAAAAACTATTAAGAGTTTAGATTCCTAAAAGCAGAGTGGGGACACTTTTATTTTTAGTTCTCAGTCAAATTGATTTGGACAGAAAATCCCAAAATTCGTCGTCTGCTGTTTCCTTCCCTCATGTAGACTTCATGAGCATCAATCTATCATTTAAAATCCATAAAACTTAATGAACTAATGTGTATTTGAGAGTGGAAAATACTAAACCTCCTGTTTATAAGCTAGATAATATGATAATAATCTAATGGTGGATTTTAGCTGGAATTTTGACCCGTTTTGAATCATCTCATTCTGTTTTTAAAGGCTCCGTAAACTCTTATTAATCTCTCTCTGACAGTTACAGAAGCAGAAATAGCAAAAGCAAAATAACTCCTATTTCAAAGCTACTAAAATCATTAAATGTTTAAATTGAGTGCAAAATTAAGAATAATTTTGAATGGCTGTCATATTTTCAGTAGCTTTCAGTCGATTTTTGACCCCCTGACACGTAGTAGATCAAACTTAAAGATTCTTTCCCTAAACTATTAAAATCATCGGAGTTATTTCTGAGGTCTTTTGCTAATTCTGTCTCAAGAAATGGAAAACTTTTAGTTTTTTGCTTTGCAGTATTTTCTGTTCCCTGAAGAACATGAAGAAAAATGTTAGTTTTTTTCTCTTTTAAAGAATCATTTTGTGGATTTTGGGGATGTTTAGAGGAAAACCTGCAGAATGCAACCAGCTGAACACCCCCCCCCCCCCTCCCCCCCTTTTTTTTTTCTCCATACATCACCCAGTAACAGAGAAACTCTGTAACACTTCACCCAGAGTCTGTCAGTGTTTTTGCTGTAAATAATCAACAACAAGCTTAACGTTTCCAAACCGGCTCTCCCTTCTCTCCACCTGAGCCCGAATTCTCTGAAACACTAAGACACTGAGAGAAAAAATCAGAAAACTGCCACGAAAAGAAAAGTGTTTGTGTATCAGCATAAGTTTGTATCATCGATAAGTTAAAAAAAATAATTATATTTATTATTTATTTTTTCATCCATCCATCCATTTCAGGCTGAAATCAATACTCACAATAAGTTAAAAATTGCAATATATTTATATATATATACGTATAGGTATTCTAAATTTTACAGCCATTTTTGGTGGGATTTATGTCAGATGCATTTAGATATAAACCCCTCCATCCCTCTGAAGTGGGATCAGGATCACAGACTTGTGAGGAAAGCAGCTAAAAGCTTTTAGGGAACTTTAAAAGTGTTAATTTCATTTTGTTCTTTTCCTTCCAGGATGGCTGGGAGTATAAAGATGAAGGCAGGAAGTCGTTTGTGACAGAGGTGAGAAGAGATGTTTCATTTTTATGGATTAAATTTTGGTTACTAAGTAGCAGAGGAAACTAAACAAGTGCTCAAATGTGAAATATGATGGATGAATAATCCTTTTTTTTGCTCTCAGTTCGACCTGGTGTGCTGGGATGCGTGGTGGGTGGACATGTACCAGTCCGCTCTGAATGTGGGATTTCTGGTGGGCAGCTTTGCTTTCGGATACTTTGCAGACAGGTGAGCTCCCTCAAAGGGCCTCAGGCAGCTGATTGGTGGACTTTAACCCTGTAATGCCAAATGTATCATATTTGATACGTGCGGTTTCTGAAATGTTTTGCTTTTTGATCTAGTTTATCCTGCATTTTTTAAAAGATAAACTATGTTCATTTGAAGTTCATTTGAAATTCTTTTTAATTTGATTTGAATGTTGAGTTAAATTTAATTTGAAATACGTTTGAACTTAATATGAAATTCCTGCGAACTTTCTTTGAAGTTCGTTTCAAAGAAAACCAAAGCGGATGGTACTTGGTTATGATTAACGCTGTAATGCCAAATGTATCATATTTGATAAAAATTTTCTGTTTTGTTTTATTCTTGGATCAGACTTTAACCCTTTAACCCTTTAAAGCCTGATCCAAGAATAAAACAAAATAGAAAATTACTTTTTTTTTGTTTGAACTCCTTATTTGGCCTTTTAACAAAATATGTCAAAAGATGAACAAAAATACATTTTTAATATTATTAATTTATTACTATGCAATAAATCAAGAGGATTGTGTACAATAGGATTGTGAGCAAAGTATTTACTATTAAATTATGCAAAAGGTGTCAGACGAAAAACATTTCAGAAACCGTATAAATCAAATATGATACATATTTGATTCAAATATTTCATTTTTTTCTTTTTAAATATTTAGTTAAAAGGCCAAATAAGGAATTCAAACCAAAAAAAAGTAATTTTCTGTTTTTATTTTATTCTTGGATCAGGCTTTAAAGGGTTAAGGTCCCATAACTGTGGACATTCGGGTCAGTTTTCCGTTGTTCGTGCATTTGCATAAAAATAAAAAACATGTTTCTCCTGGGTTTTTGGTGCTCAGGTTTGGCAGAATGAAGAGTTTCCTGGTCTCCAACGTCTTCAACATAGTGGCCGGGTTCGCGACGGCCTTGGTCCCGAACTACGCTGCCATCTTGGTGTTCCGGGCCGTGTCCGGCTTCAGCGCCAAAGGGGGCTGGATGGGCATCTACGTGCTGCGTGAGCCCCTCCCCCCCCTGGTCCTCCCCCGGTGGTCCCAGCCCAGAGTTTTTTGAGCATTTTGACTGATTTTTCAAGAGCCACAGAATAGTTTGTGCTATGACTATGTAAACACCGAACACACCAAAAGAAAGAGTAGACTCTCTTCTTTCATCAGGAAAACAATAATTGTTTCTACCTTATTCCGTTCTTCCTGGACTTGCGTCTCACCGGCGACATGTTCTCTCATAGCGAACCGTTGTTTTTTTCTTTATTTGCCTACAGTCTATGCTCACCTCCCATCAAAAGTGGCACTGCCCCCTAGAGGGTCAATTTGTTACTACATACTCTGTCTAGAAGCCTGATATTTATGGACAAGCTTTAGCAGATCGTCCCCCAGCCACTCTGGTTGAAAAACATAAAAGACGTCTATAGACGTCTTTGGCAACCAATGAGTTAAAGACCCCTGTCCTGCAGTCACAGAGATGGTGGGGGTGCAGCACCGGTGCACGGTGGGCATCCTGTTCCAGATGTTCTTCAGCGTGGGCCTCCTCCTCCTCCCCCCGCTCGCCTACCTCATCCCCGACTGGCGCTGGCTGCAAGTCGCCTTCACGGCTCCCTACATTCTGTTCATGGCCTGCTACTGGTGAGAAACTCTGTTTTCCTCAAACCAATCAGTCGTTCAGGTGGAAACTGTCCATTCCCAGAGTGGAGGACTCAGATTTGAGCTATAAGCTTTGAGGTTTTGGTCTTGCTCTAATCCTTTTCCCATCCTGGATCATCCATCCAGTCACTTTTCAGGGGTTTGTTGGTTTTTTTGGAGCCTGTACCCACTCGGTTGGAGGTGGAGAGGCATTTGAGCCCTTTGGTGGAGCTTAAGAAGCTCTAGATTTTGAACAAGTTTACACATTTTGAATGAATGAATGAATGAATGAATGAATTAATTAATCTTTATTGTCATTGTCACAAGAAACAACGAAATGTAAAAAAAAGTGCCATCAATCAGTGCCTATTCCCACAATTTACACACAATATAAGAAATAAATAATAAATAACTGATCAAAAATAAATTAATTAATTAAAAAAATTAAAAATTTTAAAATATATAATACAGTGAAAAAATGATAGAAGAATGAATAATGCGTGTCATGTTAATATGTCTTATATCACTGTTGATAAAAGACTCTTTTAACACAGCTCATGAAGGTGTTTTCATTTGGTCCTTTTGAACCAATAAACGGATTTAAAATACTAACTTTTAAAAAAATCTGTGGTCTTTGCTTGTTTATTTCTCCAAAATCGTAAACAAACCCATATGAATGTGGACTCTTTTCTCTCGTGTGGTTTCTTAAGGCTCGTTCCAGAGTCTCCCCGGTGGCTCCTCTCTCAGAACCGTTCTGCCAAAGCTCTGGAGATCATGGAGGCCATGGCCAAAGAGAACAAGACCAAACTCTCCACAAACATTGAGGTAGATCGCCAAAAAAAACAAAAAACCTGAAGGTTAACAACAGATGCTGGAATCTGAATCCTGGAATTTATAATGAAAACGAGCCTCTTTGTGCTCCAGATGCTGTCCCATCAACCACAAAGGGACATTTTTAATACTGATATACTCTATTTTTCCCTTAAGGGGTCGATTGGTGACTTCCTGTGGTCTTTCTATGGCATTTAAATAGAAGAAAATTGGCAAAATGCTTATGTCTTAATTTCTTGATCTATTCTGATAAAAGTCCTTATTTAACCGTGTAATGGCAAATGTATCATATTTGATACATACGGTTTCTGAAATGTTTTGTGTCTGACACCTTTTGCATAATTTAATGGTAAAAACTTTGCTCAAAATCCTATTGTACACAATAAGATACACTTGATAACAGGGGGCAGAAGACTACACAAAACATAATCTTGACCTATCGCATAGTAATAAATTATTAATATCAAAAATGTATTTCTGTTTTTTCTTTTTACATATTTTGTTAAAAGGCCAAATAAGGAATTCATACAAAAAAAAAGTCATTTTCTGTTTTGTTTTCTTCTTGGATCAGGCTTTAAAGGGTTATTGTCACAGATTCTGTTTCCTTTGTGTTTCAGACGCTCACAGATGAGCAGGTGGAGTCTACATCCGCCTCCATTCTGGACCTGGTCCGAACTCCCAAAATGAGGAAGCACACTCTCATCCTCATGTTTAACTGGTGAGTGTCAGGGAGGATGGTAACAAGGGTTTATTTTAACAAAAGAAAACACACTCAAAAGGAGGGGATTACCAGGCAAGGGTCAAAACAAGGGAGACAAAACTTTGAGGAAAAGTAGCAAAGCAAGATTAACATGAGGGAGGGGGCTCCCCTCCCTCATGTGTTTAAATAGTCCTCGTTTCCCATGTCCTGTGCCAGTGCGTTTTTGTCCTTCGTCACTTTTCGTCACCCCTCGCCACGTCAGGTTTGATTTCTGTCACAGGGGTGGATCTTAAGGGAGGACTCAGTCGCGGAGATTCGTGAAAAAAGTTTATTTTAACAAAAACGCACTCAAAAGAATGGATGACAGGACAAAGTTAAAAAACAAGGCTGTGGCAAAACTATGAACAAAGTATCAAATCAAGATTAAACATGACTGTGAACACAAAGTATCAAAGTAAACAAGGCTATGGCAAAGTAACAAATAAAGATTAACAAAACTGTGGCAAGGCTGTGGCAAAACAAGGCTATGACAAAAACATGGCTATGGTACAAAAACAAGACCATGGCATGGCTGTGACAAAAATCATGGCTATGGCAAAAAGGAAAACAAGGCTATGACAAAAACATGGCTATGGTACAAAAACAAGACCATGGCATGGCTGTGACAGTGAGGCTGATCTGGAACCATTTCCAGCCCCCCCCCCCCTCCTCATCAGACCTCCAACCCCCGGCTACCTGTACCCCTCCAGGTTCACCAGTGCGGTGGTCTACCAGGGCCTGATCATGAGGGTGGGGATAACTGGAGGGAACGTGTACGTGGACTTCCTGATCTCGGGGCTGATGGAGATCCCCGCCGCCGTCCTCATCCTCGTCACCATCGACCGCGTCGGCCGCAGACTCCCGTTCGCCGCCGCCAACATGGCCGCCGGAGTCTCCTGCATCATCACCACCTTCATCCCCGACAGTGAGTCCCCCAGGTTACAAAACACTGTTCAAAACAGACTCAATTTCTGCTTTTTTTTTATCAACTGTAGTAAAAAATGATGGAATCCCTTTCCTGTTCTGATTGTATGAAGAAAACCCCTTTAAAGATTTAACTTTAATTTTTTGAACAATTTTTTTATTATTTTTTCAGAAATAATAGTGTGGTATGAATGTACATGTGTATTTTTACATTTTTAAACATAAAAAAAACAGGGTGATTTCAAGAGTATGAAAAACAAAAAAGAACCATTATGCATAATTAGTGGAACGACAGGTCTCTAACGTTTTGTGAATATGGGTATTTGTAGTCTCAGAGAATATGTTATATGTTCCATTTGGTATATATCCCAGACCTTCTGAATCCAAATATTGTAGGAAGGAGGCTCAGGTTTGAGCTATCTGATTGTTATACATTTTATAGCAGCTGTTAATAATATATTCAAAAGATATTTTCCATCTCGTATGTATCATATTTGATACGTACGGTTTCTGAAAAGCATAGTAATAAATTATTAATATTAAAAATATATATTTCTGTTTTTTCTTTTTACATATTTTGGTAAAAGGCCAAATAAGGAATTCAAACCAGAAATAAAGTAATTTTCTGTTTTGTTTTGTTCTTGGATCAGGCTTTAAAGGGTTAAACACAAGCTTTCGGGGTGTTTTCAGAGGCTGGCTGTGTCCTGAACTGACTCTGTGTCCTGTGTGTTCCCACCTGAACCATCTGGGGGCTGGATCCTGAATCCTTTCCTGTGCTGGACGATGACCGGTGTGGTTTTTGTCCCTCCTCAGGTCTGTTCTGGCTAAAGACGGCGGTGGCCTGTGTCGGGCGGTTGGGCATCACCATGGCCTTAGAGATGGTGGTGTTTGTCAACACGGAGCTCTACCCGACGTTTGTCAGGTACTAAGACACATTTTTCTTTCTTTTTTTATTCATCTGTGCATATGTTTTAGGGCATATCACACATAAATATAAATACTTATTCAGATGGACACAGAGAATGTGTCCATGTCTCTTAGTATGTGCATCTGTGTTAAAGTACAAGTATTACTGTACGTGTGTAAATTATGTGTAAATGCACATGCATAATATTGTGTTCATGTGTGTGATATTTTACTTTTTATCAGAATCAATCTTTATATAAATATATATATATATTTATTTATTTATTTATTCATTTATTATTTTATTAACATTTTTATTACATTTTACATTTT